GCCGGGCCCTGCCCTGCCCGCGGGTACCGGCCCACAGCCAGGACACCTTCCTAGCGACTCTCGGAGAAATTACAGCTGTATATACGGTATTTAAAGAGAAGAATTATTTTTCGTGAGAAAAGGAGCCTGATCTAGTGACCTTGTTTTAATAGCCTTAGCCCCCGAGCTTCAACACTTAAGTTATTGTGAGGTGTCTTGTTTGCTGTACTCTGTACTAACTTAGCCGAGAAGGTAAATGTTCATATTAAGAAGTCAATGTTAAGTCATATAATAGCTAGCAAAACGTATGGGAAATTAATTGTGCTGTCTGCTTAATTGAAATACGAGGCGTTGGCCTTCTGTAGCTAAGTACGCATCTCTCGCTTACTCTGTGTCTCTAGCGACTGTGTGGTAGGTAAACCACACGTCTCTGCCCGTCCCCAAACCCACTCTGTTAGTGGCTTGTCAGTGTGGCTCGGACAGTGGCCAGAAGAGCAGTTCTGTCCGGCCGGGCAGCGTGTGGCCCTGCGGCAGGCAGGACCATGTGCACAGCTGTCCCTCCCGGGCAGCCTCCCACCCCTCCCCTGCGAGCTGCGCGTTTGATGTGAGCTCCTCGAGTCTTGTGAACAGCTGAAATTAGGACATGAAACAGTCTTTAGACAAGTTGCTAAAGCGCAGATGACAGGCTACCTTCCTCTTCCCTAACAAGACCTACCTTTAGCAAAGCAACCTGCGGTGTGGATTCCCTGGCTTTGATGATGCTCTGGCCAAAGGCTTTGAAATGCCATTGAATTTACCAGCTACCGACATTTCAGCTGGCATTTATTTATTTACTTATTTAATTTTTCCACATGAGTGCTTGTTTCTAAATGTGATAGCAGATGAGGCTAAAAACAAGGGCAAGAAAATTCAATAGAATATTTAAAACAAAGCTCATGCCTTTCTTGAATTCAGCAGAGCAAAGTGGGTCAGCTGGTGATTTCTGAGGAACCAAATTGATCCCAGTTGTAGTCTTTGTTCTAACAGTCTCTCTGAAATGAGCATGCAAAATATTTCAATCTCTTGATTAGCATCCTCTAACGCAATTATTTCTGTAGTTTTATATTTTGTTACACGCAACAAAAGATTCAGATGTATCATGCCCAAAGGCTGCAAGCAAGTGGTAAGTGCTTTATTTTAAATGTGCTTCATGGACCTTGTCATTTTAGTTCCAGGACCTGGACAAATGAATTAATACAATATAACCTAATGCAACCAAGATTTGCTCTCTGACAAAGGAGGCTAAACTCACAGCTCGCTCTTCTCATGTGACAAAAATAAAGCATGTTATTTCAAGTTGTGCATTTTCCCGTCATTTGTTGGTAACAAAGGCTCAGGTAAAAATGCCTGTTCATGCAATTAAATGAGTTCATCCCTGGAGAAGGTCACTGTGTCTTCTTAAAAAACCATTATTCTCCTTTCTCCACTTGTGTAGTCAAAGATGAAGGGCTCCAGACCACACAAACCTGATGATTATTAACCGCTCCTACAATTAGCACTCGAACAACTAGCCTGCAGAAGGGAACATCCTTTGCTTTATGTTACCTGCACAGCTACGTGTAATGTATTTACTAGATCTGGGGAGAAGTTTTTAGTCTGGCATTCTTGTGATGGGTTGGGAAAGAGCTCTTAAGAACTCGTGTGTACTTTTTAATACAAATGAAAACTAAGCTGTGTATTGCACTTAACTGCTCCGTCCGCGTGTAACACACAATGTTTCCATAAATTGGAGTAAGAATCTAATCATTGAGGTGAATGACTAATATACAAAAGGTGGTAAGAATAATTTTATTGTATTATTAAATAGCACGTCTTCTTTTCAACCATTACAAATTTGTAAATACTACATGAATGACAAGGCATAATTTATCTTTTTATTGTTGCCCGTATGATATATTTACACATGCAGTTAGTACCGATGCCATGCTACATTTTATTAACAGCATTTTGTTGTTTGCCAGACTCAAAATGTGAGCATTTCATCTTCTGTAGGAAAATACCTCTGGGTGGGTGGAACTTGTGTACTAATCTGCACTCAGAGGGTTGGAATTGTCAGCATTTCAGGCCAGGCTCCTGGAGCATGTTCCCTTTTCTTCACTAGTACCCATCATCACAGCAGTGAATTTCTATCAGGAAAGTGTTTTTAAATTTTTTAATGTAAGAAAAAAGAGTATACATCTAGATGGAGCGGCCCATGATAAAGGCTAAAACTCATGAAACTTGATGGCATTTACGATTGATACCACTTGGAAAAGCAAACATTATAAAAATATTTGGAAGCCAAGCATAAGTAGACTTTCAGCACAGGGATTTTTTTTTTTTTCTGGCATAGATTATCTGCGAAGTTATGAAATTATAGGTTACTTTGTGAAGAAAGAGTTGGTGCTACGAGCAAATTATCTTGTTTGGATGCTAATGCTTGAAAGGCTGTTGAACTATTTTATTCTTAACATAAATAATCTATACACATCCTGTGCATTAACATTTTGACATCTGACAAAGACTTTACAAATGCAACTTCAATTTAAAATTGTACATTAATTTTCAAATTGTACATATTTCTTTCTTTGCTACAGAGAAAATTGCAATGGGGCACAATAAATATAGTGTAATCCAACTGTAGTCTCCAATTCCATATGTGGCTCAAGATCAACCAGAGTTAAAAATGATTACTGTTAAGATACCATAATCATCCAGGAAGGTAAAAGGTGCAGGGGCTAAACTGCACTGCAAAGAAAAAAAAAGGCAGACTGGAGTTTGATAAAAAAAAAAGCTAAACTATCAAAGTAAAATTCCAGTGTCACTGTTTAAAATAAACATACATAAAAAGGGTATGGGGGGCACGGGCACACACATGAGACATTATCCTTGAGTGAAAGGTGTGAGCGGTGGCTAGAAGAAAATGGTGAGTGCTGTGGGAAGGTTGGCCAACTGCTGTTCACTAGAAAGCTGCAGGCATCTTGCCACTTAGGACTTGTTGGCTGAGCCAGAGGAGCGGCGCAGTTTCATGGACATGCGGCTCTTGCTAGTCCGAGGAGACATTGGAGAGGCTAAGTCTGTTCCATCCACCTGTGCTGTTGCTGCTGCTGGAGTTTCTCCCGGCTGAGTCTCTGGGCAGAAGCCTGCAGAGGACAGCAAGAACCAGATGGGTCAGTGCTGCCTTCTGCGCTCGCAGTGCGGGATCTCTTAGCAAGGGGCAGAGAGGGATTTCAGTGCTGCTGTCACTGCCACAGCATCTCCTAGCCTTTTATCAGCTGTGGGTGATGGTACTGCTCATGCAGTTAACAACTGCCACAAATCCACCTCTAGAGGAAAGATGATGCCAGAAACCACTGAGCTATGGGACTGCAGAACCCCCTTGTGCTCAGCAATTGAGGCAGCACTGAAGTGGGCGACATTCTCCTGCTAACCAGGAGAACAAACACCCCCTGTTCCCTTGCAGGGATGGGGAGTCATTATTCAAGCCACAACCCAGAAGAATCCAGTCTTTAATGAGAATATGAAGGTTAACAGCTCATTGCGCATGAAGGGAGCTCTAGGAATGCAGCTGAAGAGGTGGAGCGAACTGGGGGCCAACTGGGAGAGCCAAACATTTCCTCCCATCCCAACTTTAGTTAGTACTTTAAAAGGCAAAGCCCTACAGGGCCCACAAGGCAGAAGCTTGAACAGATAGTACTAACTGGTTGCACTATACGTTAACGTTTCTTTGTAAAAGGAACAAGATGAATTTGAGACAATGATACGTAATTCATAAGCCCAGTGCCCAGAGCTATGCTCCGGTGGACCCCGAGTCCTCACTGCAAGAGGACAAAGATCTTCCTTACAAACAGCCTGTCTCCAAACCTTCCATAGAGATACAAAAGGAAAAGGAGAAAATATGAAATCCGAATTACATTCTCCTTCCCATGGTAAAGAAAATTAATACTATGAACGCCCATCCATAAAACTAAACTGCATTTTAATTAGCCATTTACAGAGACTGACAGTCTAATTGAACTCAACTACCCCAGTCACCACTGAAGGCTTCTGACTCATATAAATTACAGACAGAAGCTTAGTCCTGCAGGTGTCAATAGAGAACCCCTGCTGACTCCAGTGAGCCAGAAATCACTTGCTATTTCTTCCACATCATGCTATTGCTGGTAATTCTTTAAAACAATAATGCAATAATCAGAACCAAACATCTTTCCCCCTCCCATATATAAGGGGTTCAAAACCCATTCAAAACTGGTCATGATTTATTTTGAAAGATTCCTCTAAAACCAAATGAAGTTATCAGGTAAGAAGTCTAAGAGTAGATTTAAAACCTCTCAGATTTAGCGACCTGGCTGTCCTCCTTGCCTCATCCCTCACCTACCTCCTCCAGAGGGACAGCACAGTACTTTCTATCTGCAAACTGACGTGCCCCATCAGAGTGACAGGGGAGAGAAAGGGCTGTTATTTGTTCCCCAGCTGGTGACAGTAATTCCATTTATGAACTAGGTACTTCATTGCCAAACAATCTGGAAAAGCATGATAATGCCTGACTCACTGTGCCTTATAGAAAAAGGCAGGCAGGGAAACATGCACTCTCATTTTCTGAAATTCTATCTTGTTCTGATTTTACAAGGAATTAAAGCATTTCAAATGGTGGAAATTAGAGAATAGAAAATAACCATTGTTGTTTTGCACAGCATACCATTCACAGCTAGCGTGAAAGACCTTCCGTTTCAAGCCTTTGCCCTTTACCTTGATGTGGCCAATGCTTTCTAGTGGAGGTTTTGGAAGGAGAAGAAATATCACAGCATTTCTTTCTTTGTTGAGAATGAAGAAGTGATGAGGAAGGAGGAGTGGAAAGAAGTGAGGAAGGGGGAGGAGAAAAGATAAAAGATAACAGGTGTGAGACATGAGACACGAACCGCAGAGATTGAAGGGTATTAACAGATGAGCACAGAAAACGGAATTTCGAATTTCATTATGCAATTGCTGCTCATGCTACAGGTTAAAGAGAGTGATGAGTTAGTTATGTGCAATGAAGCAACAGCTCTGAAATCCGGCATCATACTTACCAACTAGGCATTACAAGAAAAAAAAAAGGAAGGGAGAGAGAAAGAAAAGAATTCTATAACATTATCCAGATCCAGCAACCTTATGAATAGCAGCTGAGATACATCCTAAACATTGTCTGAAATGCTTGCTTAACATCTGTGAACACAGTTAAATACTCACACACATACACACAACTGAGAAGGAAAAACGAATGGCAACTCAATATATGGCTTCTGCTCCCCAGCTGTTTCACAGTACTGAATATGTGAAAATTATAGCCAGTCTCATCATGAGACTCCTGAAATCACGGAAAGAAAAACCTTCTGCATCAAAGGGTTGGACCCTAGTATGAAATTTTATCATGGGTTGGATAAACAAAACCTTAACCCGCCCCATTATTTCAATTACAGCACTATTCCAGTCACATCTTAAAATTTTGTTTCTAATTCCTGCAGACAGAAGCACAAATTCGCATTTAATCACATTTTTAAAATGAAACTTAGAGCCATTGAAGAACAGAAGTCATGTAAAGTGATTTTCACATCTGAACATATCACACCGTAAGAGTGAAGAATAACAGCACTTAAAATATATCTAAAGTCTGACAGCAATCAACAGACTAATTAGTAACTAGATTTCTTTGGATTTTAGATAATCATATAGATCAATATATACATACATATGCACATACACACATGTGGATATTAAATGTGGTATATACAAATTTTGCAGGTTTTGCTTCCCCTTTAGAGTTTTAAAATCTTCAGTATAAAATGTTATTATCTTTATCTCTCTCCACAATAAAATACTTAGTTATCCAAAATATAAAAATAGGGTGAAATATGAAGGCTTTATTGACAATTGATGTGGAGCCAGAAAGTTCTATAAAATAAATAAAATTGATGTGTTTGGATTTGTAAGAGGCTGAAAAAGGTCTGGAAGTAATCGATATTTTTCTCCTCTTAGGCTTGACAAGTGACAAATATCATAGCCTGATGAGGTATGATATTTTGGGGCCATAACGTAAAGCTGTTTCAATTGATTTTGAGCACGGAGGTGGGTCAACAAAGTTGAAATGCGACATTTTCACACTCCATTTGAAAAAATTTAGGATGTCCTGATCATAGTATGTTGGTTATTTGGCTCAGAAATTCACTATTTAAATCTAAAATGGAATCCTAACTACACACAGACTGAGTTAGAAGTGAGGTGAGCTGGAGGAATCTGGAGGTATCACAACATACGCATTGCCAGGACTCATCTCACTCATCAGTTCTGACTTTCAGAGGTGAAAAATTCACCAAGCAGAAGCCTGACAGGGTGCTGATGTTAAGACAGGGTGCTGCATGGTAAGACTACTCTCACTGCTTCTGGCTTAATCACACCTCATTGTCTGGATCAACACTGTCCTGAGTGCTGTCTGAGAATGACCACAGAGGAAAATATAATTTGTGCGTGTTGGTAAATTTTGATTTGCCTTTTAACTCGAGTGTGTCCCACCTGACCTTCAGGGAAGAGGTCAGTCAGTTTTGTACAGCCTGTGTGCTTCACCACCTTTACAAATTCCAGTCCAAGTCTGGCCAAGTTGTCTGTCATGCTCAGCAGAGCCTTGCTGGAGTCAAGTCAGTTAAGTCTCACTAATTTTGTGAAATGAGGAAAAGAAGCAAGAAGCAGATGTGGAGAGAAAGACTTCAAAAAGCAGTTGCAAAGCAAGGCAAAAAGGTGAGGAAAAGATGGTCTAAAGACCCGAGAGACTGGAACTGGTAGAAGAGATAGAGCTAAGAGGCAGACATGAGAAAGAAGCAAGAAAAAGATTAAGTTTATGGCAAAACAGCAGCCAAGTCCATGTCCGGTGAAGAATTCTCTCCAGAACCTGGCTGGAACCATTCATGTTAGGTAAGCCTATTCCTCTGTGTCAGCTACTATCTGTGAAATCCACTAGCAAAATTCCCAGTCTTTCCACTAGTGGAGATTAAGGCAGAGCTCTTAATTAAACTCTTGTTTACCATTACTACCAATTATTGTCCTATCTCAGTCTGCAGGAGGTGGTGGTGGTGGTGAATCTAGAGGTTGCAGTTTTGCTTATGTATCAGGTGGCTGTTAATCAGTGTTACAGAATTTCTATTTTGCCCTTGCTTTAAAACAAAAATGGAAGCAATTACAGAAGGAAAATGTCACAAGACAATAAAGTCAAACGTTCAAAAACTAAGAAATGCCAGGATTAAAATTTGATTTTGTGCCCTTGTGTGTATGCACAGGATGCTTTTTGATTGGACAATCATACTCTTTTCTTCAGTGGACCCATTTCATTAAGTGTAGAAAGTTGATCTGTTTAGGTTTCTAGCAGTCCTCGCTGAATTTATTGCCTCAGAGTGTTGAGGACCCTCAGTGTACCGTCACCCAAGTGGTTGACTTAAGGACAATAGTTTAGAAACGCATAAGGTTTCAGCTTCAGCTGTTCCAATATGAAATTTTTGGAATGTCAGAAAGTTTTGAGGTTTTGCTCTGACTTGGAATGAAAAAAAAGTCTTCTTAAGTTTGGACTGGAGAAGGGATAACGAGAAACTCTTCCAGCTCTGCCACAGAGCCCTCATTTCTGTACTTCAGCTTCACTTCCAATGACAAACTTGAACCACCACCACCAAGTGTTACTCAGACCCTGTTACGGTGAGGAAAGCACCATCATTCTCCTCTGTGAAGGGGTGGTACAGGGCCAAAAAGATTATTGGTTCAAAGATCCACAGCAAGCCAGAAGCAGAAGCAATTAAGATGCAAGCTGCTGAATTTGAGTTTTTCCTGTGAAAGGCTGAAGCATCATTACCTCTACACTGCCTGCTTCCCTCCCTGTACGATGGCATCCCCATTGGATGGAGATTGGATTGAGAGTGGGACAGCAGAACTGTTCTGAATGCAGGCCTGAAAACACAGGAATGATTGTTGGGGCCAAAAAGCCTGATGCTTTTGTCACAAGAAAAATACTATGACTTATGTAGAGAGGCCTCTTCTTTATAAGGCTTACTGTAATGAGGCACTAGTCTTAGTAGGAAGAAAGGGAACAAAAGAAGACAGAGGAGAAACAAACCCAAGGCATGAGTACGTTTTAAAGCTCAGAATCTTAGCATCATGGGGTCAATATGCCCTTCAATATAATTGAGCTTACCATTGACAGTTCCCTCAACCTATTCTGGTGTCAGAGAGCTGGTTCACTCAATAGCTGCACGGGAAGAGTTACTCTGTTTAGCACAGTATTTGCAGTTACTCTGTTTAACAGAGATAGCACAAAGTAAAAAAACACAGAGGCAGCTGAATTACATTCTGTGATTAGGTACAGGTAAATCTCAATTTTTTAAAATGTACACATTCACTACACTAGTCAGGTTCCTGAACATGGGAAGGTGGATTTATCAGATATTTTGTCAGGGCAAAATAAGCTTCTAGATAAAACAGCAGCTGCCACGATCACATTGTATTGAAGAGCAGCCACTGTAAAGAGAAACAGCTTTTGCTGAGGGCTGAGCCTTTGATAAAATATGCCAGTCTGAGGAAATAAAATTTGTTACTGAATGGCATGCTCTCTATTTGCTCTGATTATCAAAGCTTGAATGAAAAGAAAAATGGCATCGTGAAACAGGCCAAAACCAACAAAATGACAACATCTGGTGATGGGCTATAGCAGCTTCATAGTTTCTACAGATCTTTCTTAGATGAGAAAAATGTATAGAATATTTTACAAAATTAAACATATTCAGCAATTGTAATCTTGAAGATCACAATCCAATTAAAGAATCAAATCTATAATATCTAAAATGTGGATTTTTTTCCTAGTCTCTTCTGGTCAATTATTTTTCATTAAAAGAACCCCCAGACATAAATGAAATATTTTGTATTTAAAAAATGTGATATATTTTTAGAAGCTGGTCAGAAATTTTCAGATGACATGGACACATCTGGCGGGGAGCCTGCAGGGTTTTGTCTGAGTCATCTTGGGAGTGATGAACACATGTGGATTCCCCAGCAGGACTCTAGTGTCACTTCTGTGTGCAGTCCTGGCAGGGTTCAGAGCTCTGTACCTATCTTCCAAGAAATGCACCTGTTGAAGGGGCCCTGGAAACGTAGGGGTATCTATTTTTTTAATAGCACACCTGGCGGATTCTTTCCTGGGATCACGGTCCATTGGAGATTCGGGTCATCTGTAGCCACGTCACTCACAGGTCTGCCCTCGCTAGAACTGGAAACCAGTGGTTTCCAGGCTAACCCCAAGCCCTGAGGTAACCTTTGCAGCAGAACACTGCAGTGTTATTCCATACCTGTCTCAGGCTTTAGGATTTGTGCCCTCCAGAGTCAGTGTGGAGGCAGATGGCGTGGTGCTACTCCAGGCATGCTGTCCTGGAGCTGAGTATCAGAGCTCCAGGAGCCCCATGTGGAACAGGGTCAGGCTGCAAACAGGAGTGCCAGAGCATCCCCAGCTTCCCTGGGCCGAAAGGAAAGCTCAGAGTTGGGCAGATCTGGGGACAGGGCATTTGACTTTGACACTGGGTCACACTGTGCTGCATGTCTGTCCTAGGGAGCTGCTCCCAACACTGATGTCTTCATCAGTTCCACTGCACAATGCAAGGTCCAGAAGAATGTAGCCCTCACGAGAGGAGATTGTGTTTTTGTGATATGTAAACACACATGCACATGTGCAGATGTGAAATGTATCAGAAGCTCCTATTAATGAGATTCCTACAGAAAATTATTAGATTTGACAGAAAGTTGAAGTTCAAAATCAAGTTTCTAAAAAATCATAACCTCTTTTCAGATCACATTAGAGAATACCAAGTATGACTAGGACAATTTTAAAAAGAATACAGGAATTGCCACTTTAGAGCAGTGTACTCTTGATGCACCAAACTAGCACAGAAAAGCAGCTTTGCTTCACCCTGAAAGAATGAACTTAGAGGAAGAGGGCAGAGCAACTTGGCCTGGAATGGGAGTTCTGAAAACGAACAGGCAGAACTGCTACAAGTGCACTAGAATATAGATTATATACTAGCCATACAAAAATGTCTGGTGTTGAATACTTAGCAGGTCCATTAGGCAGGAAATGTGGCAAGGACTCGTATTGCTGGTTATTGTTTTTAATGTTTTTAGTTACAGATTTTTCCTATTCAAATAATTTAATAGATTAAATTATGTTGCTATTTTTAATACTGATTTAATTAGTTTTAAATTACTTACTTTTAATTTTGTTTCCCTTTGGTCTCAACTATTTGCACTAACATAACTATACCACTTAGATTTTGAAACTGCACCTCATTTCTAGTTATGGTTTATACTTTCAAGTAAAGGAATCACAACACTTTAACATCTCTCAGTCGTTCTTTCTGTAGTCCTATGACAATTCTTGCATAATTTAGAATTAATTTTTGCATATATTTTTGCATTTGAGAAACAAATTTTGAGGTAACAACTTGCCAAATTATTCCTACAAAATTTATTTTATTTAGGTTTACAGCTTTTCCATGGAAGCATTTTGATTATCATTAAATAAGGTTTTCTGAACAAGGAATTTCAAGTGTTACACATTCTTCTTCTCCTTCTTTCCTAGGTTATCACTGCAGAATGTTTTACAACATCAATGAAAGACAGTACAGGGTACAAAACACACCACTGCCATCCAGTACTACTTGTTCATGCTGAGAAACAAAGGTCAACACAATAAAGTGTTACTCGTTCAACATCTGTCTCTATCATTAGTTACCTTAATCCCGGAACGAGTGTTAGTGCTTCATGCAGACCTGAGGTTAGTAAAAGACTAAAACTTTCAGAAGATGTAGTGGTCATTTCTCAATCAGTGTGAAATTCTTTTTAGTGTGAACAAGGAAACAAGGAAAGTTCGCATACAATTTGGTTACAAGCTTAGTGCTCTAGTAAAAGTAAGAGGAATAAAGGGGGTTTTTGGACACTTTGTCTTACCTTCAGATAAACAGAACTGATATTTAATGATCTAAAAAGAGGGGAAATAAAATAATGAAATAATCATAAGGAGTTCAAGAAATGTCAGAACAGGAAGGCCTTGAGTTACTCATTTTCTTTTACCGATTTTCTCATTAGTAACTGAAAATGCAGTATCCTCTTATAAAACAGGTATTTTACTGGAAAGCAAAAATTACCTTTAAACCAACTTTGCGACTAATAACCTGGTAACAAAACTACTAATTGCAGGGCTCAGATTTCCAGTCTAAAACTTTACATTCTAACAAGGCAGTGAGCCTTAAAGCTTTCTTATGAGGAAGGTGTACTTGAAGAATGCTTCTACCTGAATTGGCCTTCAATGAAAGAGTACTAACACTTCCATGCAGACTTTATACAGGAGAATGCGATAAAATTTGCTGTAAAAATATGGGGTGTGGTTGCTACGTTAAAGCAGTTTACAAAATCTGAATGCCAGGCATTGGCTCATGATGCCAGAAAACAGATTAACGTTTTAAAGACAACTTTGCCCAGGTTCCCAAGCATGTACATGTGGTCTCTCCAATTAATGGCAACTCTTAATGATGTGCAAAGGTCTGAATTTTTAGCCTTTATAAGTAAGGATACTGCATTTCAAGTAAGATTGTATTAAAACAGTCCTTTACTGCACTTCTTACCCGTCTCTGAGGGCAGATGGTGATAAGGTGCCGGACAGAAAACCTGAGCAGCAAAATCTTCAAACGTTGTAGGCTCTAGATGATGTTGAACAATTGTTTGCAGGTATCGTGCTCTCTCCTCATAACTGGTTTAGCCAAGAATTAAGGATGAATTTATATTATGCATTGTAACTGCTAAATATCAGAATTCTTGTTTTTGTTAAATACATATCATGTGTTTCAGTGACTGTACACACTTATTTTTAATTCTTTACATAACTGTGATATTATCTGATGCACTGATGTAACATGAAGTGTAAGATAAACATGATTAATATAAACCTTATCGTTCAACTGCATTTTTTACATGGCTGATGCAAAACTATAATACTGTTTTCAAACAAGAGCAACTTAAATATTGTCTTTTAAGTAACCAATTTGACTATATTTTGGTCACAACTAAATATAAAAATGTTTCCACTTTTAAGAGGTGTAGTGTGAAATACAACCTTAGCATTAACAAAATAAATTATTTTGCACTTTTCCATAATGAACTGCTTCCATAATCCCTAAACACACACACGGCTAAGATAAATACATAGTGAAATTTCAGTATTGGGAGAAACACCTTGTCAATTATGCCATTAAAACAAGCAAGAATATTTGTAAAGAATCCACAGGACCCTTAAATACTGGTTAACAGGGTGTTGGCAGGGCACTGACAGCAAAATACTGTACTTCTTCCTTTTCCCTCTGTTCTGCCCCTCTAATATTATTGACAAGAGACTGGTATCTTGAAGTGTTGTTGTATTTGAAGAACCCTCACCAGGCTTCTTGTTCCAGCAGGCCCGATTGTGCTGTTAGCACAGAGAGAGCGAGAAAAAGAGAGAATATTTCTGCTGTTCATGAAAGCAACTATGGAAATGGCTGTCAAAATGTAGAGCAGCAGGCAGCAACATACAATTATCAAGAAAAACTACCATGCTGACTTCATGTTGTATAGTTGCTGAACTGAGAAATCAGTTAACCTTTTCTCTCACAACTTTCAAAGTCCTTGAGCTGGACTCAGTATGTTGAATGAGGGAGATCCTCTCCAGTTGTCTCATAGAAACACAGAAGATCAGAAATTTTCTGTGACATTTACACTTGTGCCCACTTTTGTTTTCATATTTTATTTGTAGATAGTGAGATCATTTTCTTCTTACACAGTTCTGTTTTCCTAAAAATCCCCCAAACAAATCAGCATGCTGTGGAGGAATGCACTCAGAATAGGTTTCTTGAAGGTTCTGCGTTCTGATTTCAGGTCTGCTGCTCTTTTAGGGGGGATCAGGGACAGTGAGGAAACTACCTTTCTGACTCAATTTCACCACCTGTGAAATGGAGATAATATTCATCTTGTGCACAATTTTTAGCAATCCAAACTTAAAAACTGCATTACAAGTGATAAGCATTTTTAATAACAAGTGCTAACCTTTAAAACATAAGTTATTGCTGATCATTATGATCAGCAATAAAATTCTCAGCACCAAATTGAAGTTGGAAACAATACTTTTCATATTAGCTCACAAAACAATACTTAAATGATTACAGGACTTTTCCTACTAAATATTTTTGCATTTTTTTCTGTACAATATTTACTGTGGATTTTACAGTCTATCTAAATATGAAAATATGTACAGAGAATACATTATCTGGAAACAACTTCTAGTGAGCAAAATTATTTCCGTCATAGTTCCTTAGGCCATAACTTGGTTACATAGTGAAACTGGGAAACCATTTTCCTTCCAAAATCTGTGTTCCGAATTCTTTCTCCATCCAGAGACAGCTGAACCATGGCAGAAGTTTCAGTTTGGAGAAGCTATAATAGAAGCACCGGGACAAGAGAAAATATAAAAATCTCCCATTGTAACAGTTCTTAGGTTGGGGGATAAACACAGTATTGAGCCTTAACAGAGGAGAGTAATATAGCACGGTTTTTAAGAGACTATGTATAAGTGGCAGAGGATGAAACTGATGGTTGAAGTCTAAATAATACTACGTATCTCACAACTTGTTGAAAAGCACTTTTTTTTCATTGGGGGAGATTCACAGCTGCTGAATTTTCTGCAGTTAATAGAGTCCTTTGATTCACAGCAGTGCCCCTTGCACAAAAAATACTGGCCTTTGTGTATTACCAGAAACTAATTTTCTATTTGGCTGAAAAGGGAAAAATGGGGTTATTGCTTCTCCCTCCTACAGAGCTTTTCATTATGCCTGATGCACTCAACTTCTAAGCTCTTCTGAGAAAAAAAAATAACTGAAGAGGCAAGAGGTAGAAAAATGAGCTTGTTAGCACATTAGAAGTGAAGTATCTTGGTGGGCCCTAGAAATTCCCAGTGGTGTGTTAACTTATCACTCTATGCATGCTGGCACTGATAGTCTCCCAATTGATCACTCTCTTTTCGCACCAAAGGTGCTGCCAGGAAGCAAAGGCTGAAGGCCCACAGGAGAACAGGCTGCTATCAAAACAAGCTGTTTTTAAAAGTCTGCTTGAATGGGTAAAATGTTTCATGAAAAAGTAGGGTAGAGACACCTACCTGCTTTTAAAATGCTCTACTTTCAGAGGTCTCTAAAGGAAACCTTTTAGTTTATCCTATTATATCCAAAGCTTATACACAAATAAGGCAAAATGAAGGAAACTTACTGCTTTGAACATGACAAGGACATTCCCATTCTCCAATCTCAGTACCTATCTCCTAACCAAATAAAGAAGTCTCGACACAGATGCTGACTGAGGAGGATAATGATGTTTTTGTTACACAGCGGAGAGGATATGCTTATATCAGTTCTAGAAGTCTAATTCAAATGCACACTTAGTACACCCAGAGAAAAGTAATTCAGCTAGCTGTGGTGCTGCTTGTCCTAACAATCCACAAAACCATCTGCAGCTTGTTAAAAGCATAACCGTGCTTAAGAACAAAACAAAAAGCTGAGGTGAATGCCAAGTCCAAGACTCACTCTATTCTGCACTAAGAAATGACATACTCTCCTCAGAACTTTTCTGTATTAGAGACTGCATAGATGAGATTAGGATACTTTCATCTTCTACTCACTTATATCTTGAGAACATTCTAGTATTTTAAAACTCCCAGTTTACATGCTCTTGTGGCTGAGATAATCTAGCTGTACGCTGGATTTGAACGCAACTGTCTGCAAGAGTGATCATAAACCCACAGTAGCTAATTTCTACATTACTTCTAATAGGCCAGACATTTATTTCTTTAAAACACTGCTCTCTAGGAAAGAGTTATTAGCACCTACAAAATGAGTGCCACATACAAACTCAATGGCTAGTAATAATAGGGCAATGCAAGCTGTATTCTTACTTCGAGTGGATGTTGCCACTGGCATCGGCAATTAAGATGGAATGGGAAGGATGCACAGACAAACCAATGGAGAAAAACTGGCACAGAGAGTGACTGAACACTTAAACAACAGTGTTGTGAAGTTTTTGCTTATGAAGAAGGTGCTAACTGGAACAAAAGAGAATGGATAAGAAGGTAAAGTATACATTAATTATACAGGCACTCGCTCAAATCTGTCAGCTAAAAACTTGTAGATGCATAGTCTGCAAAAAGCATAACAAAAATCTAATTACTTCATTTTACTTTCTCAGAAGTTCTGAAAAATAGAATCAATACTAGAAAAAATCAGGACTCATACCTTTATAGGTCACTTGGGTTGCAGTCACTTCAGATAAAATTTCATTTACATTACAATCCATTTCACTTATTCTCTAAATCTGCAATTATTTCTATTAATAATTACCTGAAAAGAGCTATTATCTGAAAATACTGTACTTTCCATTATTAGACCTGTTGATTTGCACTTGGGAAGAAGCACTGAAAGCCTGGCTGTCAGATCACCTACTTATGCCTAATCTGCCTGAAAAACAACATCTCATGTCTTCACCTAATAGCTCTCCATCTCTGTTGATTGTGTCACTTCCAAGCTTTAGATTCCTATGGCAGAATATATCTACATCTTGCAGACTCTTTATGCATAATCTAAGCTAAAACTTTTTCTAGCCATCTACCTGAACAAATTACCTAGGCTCTTATCTCACATCTCAGTTACTGCCACATCCTTTTCTCTGGCCTCAATAAATGCATATCTACTCAGAGCATTGCAGAACTCACTCTCTGAACATACTACTTAGAGTGCATTCTCTTCAGGTATCTCCATCAGTCTCCACTCTCTAGCACAAATGCAGGCTACTTATTTGAACGTCACAGTCCATACCTATTTCATCAATTTTATCAAAACCTCTCACCCTCAGTCAGTTAATGCAGGCAGACACTCTCACTCATGTGGCTTCTTATGCCAAGCACCAGGTCTCTCTAAGTGTCCACAAAACAATCCTTGCCATTCCCAAACTCTCCCCTTTGCTATGATGTTTAGCAAAAATGAAAGCACCTTGGAAGACTCAGTCCATTCTGTGCAGGTTGCACAACTATTCATGTTGTCTGTTACTGTTTCACAGTACCCTGAATTCTGTATCTGCCTTCATTTGTATTCAGTTTTATACTTGGCTTTTTTACTTCTGAGGGTCAAACATCTGTCTTGTGCTGTACTTCATCTCAGTATATTGAGACTGGAGTCTATGCTAAGCATATATATGTACCACAATGGTATAAGCAAAACAGGTCTCCTCTGCATCTTCATCCACCATGGTAATCCCTTTCCTTTAGATACATAATGATTCCCTCACATTGCCAGTTTGAAAAATTTTATTCTGTGGCTTTGTCATTCTTCAGTTTGGTAAGAAAACCTGTTTGCTACATTTTGCCAAATTTCTAGTTCTTTAGTCTTTACTTTTTCTTTCCTATAATTTAAACTATGGAATCTCAACAAAACCCCATACTTTCCACTGTTTAGCCTCTTCTACTGTATCTGTCTTTCAAGACCTTCAGTTGAACTCATCTCATAGTAATTTCCATAGATTTACTGTGTCATTCTAACTATGTTTTCTTTCCATTCTGCTTCACACCTCTCAGTTTTAGAGCTAAATAAAATTCATTACAATAAATATATCTAGTATTTTGGAGTTAAAGAGTAGATGCATGATTACTGTTACAGTCATCCAGGGAATACCAACCCTAAAACG